TACATGTAGTAATACTGTAGACACAGGGCGAGTGGTCGGTCTATGGTCAGCACACAAATCAATAAGGGCCACTAAACAAACTTTTGTACTTCATGCAAGTACACAAATGCAGATGTTTCAAGCTGCACAAGATCAATTTCACACATTGTTGTGTTCTTATGTGTGTTGCCAAAAAATCCTAATGACACAAGCATGAGCATTGCTGCTAGGGGGCGCTGTAGCTCAAAAGAACAAGAGAAAGCTGAGTCTGGGTTAACCCCTGCTCTGAACAACCATAGCTGACCAGTTTGACACAGCTCTAACCAAACATGTCTGTTTATGATGCTGCGTCACCTGATCATTCAGACAGCTCTAAGCGTACAGCTGTACACACTCCTCCACAGACGCCATGTGTGTTGACTGCTGTGGTCATGGAAATGTTCTGAGCTTCAGCTGGCTGATATCGCTTTCTCGTGGACAGAACTAGATCACCTCCACCGATCCATTAACATGCACTCTGACTATATTCACCAGGGATGCACACTGAGCCAGGCGCTGTCCGAGTACTTGTGTGAAGTATGTTTCAGATGTTACATTTTGTTTTTGTACAAGCCTTACGGTAGATGCACAACATTAATAATTAATTCACAGCTACTTGTCCAGTTTTATCTTGGAAGACAAAAGAAACTTGAACCCACAAGTCAATTTTTTTTTCTTATAATACAAACTTAGCATTGTTTAATAAGCTCAAATATGAAAAGATTTAAATATCTTTCAAATGTTAGTCACAGGCTGTGTGTAGATGATTTACTTATTTAAGCCTGTACTTTATTACACAACTCATGTCAAACCAAGACAATAGCGGTCGACAGGGGAGGGTCCAAAGACAGGTAACGACTCTCACTGATACTGGGCTATAATGACTCAGTCGTTAAGGGACATTGTTGGCCTTCTAAGGACTGAAACACCACGAGGGGGATAAATATCTCCGACTCAACACCAGTCAGTCAGAACTGATGAAGATCAGAACAGGACATGAGGGTTAAAATGAACATTTGGATGAGAGGTGAAAACGTCTTCGATCTAGAAATCTAAGTCCAGTTTTTTTTTCAGTTTACTATGACCTGGATGACTGAGAATCTGCACAGACGTGTATATCTGACCACTATTTTTACAGTCAGTATCAATCCACCTACAGCTTCTGCATTGTGATGAAGAGCATGTGACAGTAGTTAAGGTTAAATCTGGTCTGTCTGCTAACATGTTCACCTCCCCTCAGGCTACAGGCAGCAGTTCTGTTTGGTCTGGATACTGGGTGTGTTAGTGCAGCTCAACAGCTGTTCTCAGTGGCTCCTTACACTGACAGGCTTTCCAAAGGGGAGGCTGACATCTACAACACAAACACCAGAAGGGGCTGTGTCTGTGTTGGTGTCTCTGAGCTGCAGCTGGACTGGAGGTTTGACTGTGCAGGTCACAGGCTTGGTGTTGTCACTGCTCCCACTCATTTTCTGGAAACAGAGTTACACACTTGATTTAATGCACAAAACGTTATTGAAGTGTTGTAAAAATATGTTTAAATGGTCAAATAAAGCTTTGCAGGAACTGGTCATGCTGAACTCAGCCATAGTTACTGTACCTGTGCTTTTTCTACTGTGACAGCTCAAAATGTCTGCTGTGAAAAGGTCAATAAAAGGCCTTTAGTAAACACAGGCCAACAAATTAAAATACATCTGGGACAGGCTAATGTGTTGACACTTTCTGTTTTATGGGTCAGTATTTTCAAGATGTACTCAGGGTACATTGACTTAGAATATCTTTTAACTGTGTATATTTGCAGTTGTAGCATTAGGAGTCATTACTAATATGTTGTGCTGAATTTCGCTGTGTGGTGTCCTGATGCATTGTGAGCAGCACACCGAGGCAAATCCCTAATGCCAATAAAGACAACTCCTATCTATAACCACCACAATGAAATGCAAATAAGACCTGACGTTAGAAGTTGTGCTAACTTTATTAACCTCGCTGTAGTTTCATGATTATATTATAACTTTAAATCAAACGTGTCAGTACAAATAACCTTGGCATTATTCCAAACTATCGTTACCAGGCTCTCTAGCTAGCTGACTTGTCTCCTCTCTACTAGCACCATAGACAGCGACCTACCGGCTTTGTGCACGCGGACACGTGAGGTTTAACCCGAGCAGCAACACTGACGGTTTATAACCATTAACATCCAGGCAGTGATGCTGCAAATCAGCTGTGCATTCAGACCGAGATACCACGAGGTTCGCATGGAAGCTAACAGTGCAGAAACCGACAACAGCTAACCAAGGAGTCGGCATTACTGGTGTTCTAAGACTAATAAGTCCACAAAGTGACTCTGCTTTGGTTCAGCACTTACTTTAAACTGTCAGAGACGACTCACAGTTTGTCCAGGGCGAAGAGAACAGTAAGCCTGCAATGCTTGAACTCCCAGATGTTAAGATGCTAAGGACAGTAAAGATCTGTGTTAGCTACTGGATGTAACCAAGGCGACAGTGAGGCTCTTAAAGGGCAAGCAACACACGGAGCTGGCCTGTCTTCACGCGGCTGTTCACTGCAAGGTGCGTGAAGACGACGGCCATGTTGGTACGGGGAAGTCGAGTGCATGTAGGCTACTGTATGTGTATGAACGCAGGAGAAAGATTCGCAATTAAAATCACCATAACCCACTGATTTTCTAGCTAATTGGTTTTCTACAAATGCCAGTTACGGGAAATGTATTTATGATAGCCTACAGAAAACTTGGTTAAGGTAAAAATGAGGAGTTTTATACTAAAACACCAACAGTAGTATTTCAGTAATAAAATGTTAGAGATCTTCAAAAATTGTTCAATAAATGTAATAATTAAGTAAATGCAAACTTAATAAAAAAGACATATTACAACAAATAGTTATAACAAACCCCTTATTTTAGTTACTTTTGTAATAAATATTTTTATATTTCATAATTTCATTAAAATTTTTGAATTCTGATTCTCTAACTTAGATGTAAATATTTCAGAACAAATCATTGTTCATTCCTGATCAGAATATAACTAACCACAGAATTCAGACCTTTCTTATATAAACTGCTGTCAGTGTCATGAATGTAATATTATGAAAACACAGTGATAATGATAATTTCATTGATCACTTCACTCTGATCACAGAGGCAAAGCCACTTCTGCTCAGAGTCTGAGTCCAAATCAAAGTGAATATTGAATTCTCAGTTTCTGTTGCATACAATTTAATAATAGTATGTATAACAAAACATAACAACATAGCATAACCCCCCCCCATTATTAAAATTTTAGAAAATGTGCTCAGTTACAGAAAAAAGTTACTTTGTTCTTTCTTTAATTTCTTTAGTGCCCAAAGTAACTAGGAAATGCATACATGTATTACTAATGGTTAATGGTTCAGCTCTGCGGGGCTCTGCAGGCATTCAGGTTATTCTAAAACTGAGCAGCAGAGTGCAGGCTTGTTCCATGGATTAGTCCTCCACCACAGTCTGTGAGAGGGTGATGTGTTACAGTTTCAAGGCCTCTCCTCCACTAAGCTCATGTCCTCCTTCACATCTTCACACTTCTCCAAATATATCCCACCTCCAAAAAATGATATACGCTCACCCCCACTAGGCACAATCTCCCGTCAAAATGAGATTCAGGTGTGCAGCGCTGGTATCAGTCAGAGGCAGCACACCTACAGCTTTATCAGTCAGCGGCAGGAATCAGGTCTCTGTGGTCTTGTAATGATACCCTTGCAAAACTGAAACAAGCTTTCCATCAATTATGAACAAAATGCATTGCCTGATGTACCACATGTAGTATAGTATATTCTATGGGCACTTAGGGACTCTTTAATAATGCTGTAGATAATGATTTCACATCTATCAATGCTGTATATTGAAAGACACTTAGAGATAAAGACAGATAGAAAAAACCTGGCAACAGCCCAAGCACAGAAACAGTTGGAATAAACTATATATACTGATCCACCTGCTCTTTCACATAATCACACTTCCATTGTCTATTTTCTCTCTTTCTTCATTCTCAGGATTTCTGATTTGTAGCTGTGCTTAATACTCTGATGTCTCGTATTTTGTTTACCTAAGAAGAACAGCAAAGCCCTTGACAATTAGTGATGGGGTTATTATTTATGAGCAGGTCTGTGACACTGCTGAAAGCTGCACAGGACCAAGGTCATCAAAAATAGCTGCTGGTTTTGGTGCAGCAATCAGTCCTCGTGTAAAATGGCCTGTTTCTGTCTCGTTATAAGTTACTGTTGACCAGTGCTGCTCGAGAGCTATGGCAGAGTAGCTCATAGGGTTAGACCGGATTCAGTGAGTGAACCACAGGCCAATTCAATTTCAATTCAATTCAGTTCACTTCAGTTTGATTTGTATATTGCCAATTCACAGCAACAATCTTCTCAGGGCACTTTACATAATAAGGTCTGGATCTTACACAAGACTCTGAAAGAGTAAGGGCTTCTGCAAACAGCTGGCATTGACAACATAATTGACAGAAACAGTACTGACAGAGGTACAGCTGGGTGACGAGTGAAAAGTCAAACCACCACCCAGTGCCCAGCAGGGCCGAGTCTCCAGAGCCTCATCAGGTCTCCTCTGTTGGAGGGGGAAACCTCCTCCTTTCAAACCAGGGCCCGTATTCACAAAGCACCTTAGAATTCTCTCAGAGAGCTCCTATCTTAGCCTAAAAAGTCCTAGCTGGGAGTCCTAGACTAAAAGTGATTTAGGAAACTCCTCAGAGCAACTCTGAGCAAGGAAAGTACAAAAACTTTTATCTTAGTGAGGAGGTGTGGTTGACCCCGTTGCTAGGGATGACGCAGCAAATCATGGACTGTGATTGGTTGATAAAGAATCTGTCACGGTCTTTACAAAAATGTGGTCTTTGTGAAAAGAGAATATATGATAATATGATGGACAGTGAAATTATAAGGTTTGTATATAAAAAAAACATATATAATCATGAATACAGGCTATTTTATGCAAAGTTTCTGTAATATGCTAAATATCTTTAAGTTAATTAAAACCGTACTGATACTGTGGTACCTCTTTGTTCACAAAAACGTCTTCATTTTCTGATGGTGCGATTATGCCAATGTGCGTCCCATCAATTGCACCAACAACACTGGGGGAACCTGCTATGTCCATGAATACCTTTGTGTGAGTCTGCAGACTGTGAACGTCCAGTGGAAATGAAATAGGCCGTGTCACTATATGAGACTGTGAAAGCGCTTCAATAGTTTGTGTGATCACTCTGCTGATGGAAGGTTGTGACAGACACAAGTCATTTGCATCTTTCCGGTTGCCAAATACCTCAGCGCTGTGTTGGTGGGAGATGTGAGCGCATCTCTAATAAGGTCATCCACAAACATAATCCCATCGTGATCCAATCTGTAGCGTTTAATTAACTCACGATCGTTCATTGTTTCAGGAATATTTCTTCTTTCCACCATTTTGTCTGCTGTGTCCGACCCCTCTGTGTCCGACCCCCCTTTGTCCAACCCGCTGTGTTCGACCCACTGTGATCGACCCTCTGTGTCCGACCCTCTGTGTCCCACCCGCTGTGTCCGACCCGCTGTGTCCGACCCCTCTGTGTCCAACCCCCCTTTGTCCAACCCGCTGTGTTCGACCCGCTGTGATCGACCCACTGTGATCGACCCACTGTGTCCGACCCTCTGTGTTC